GTTGTAAATAAACTAGAAGAATAACACAACATAAATTAATTGTGCTAAATATTTATTGATAGAAAGATATCCTGAAGCCCACGCTGAGCTTCACTTTGTCAAATGTATTATTGAAAAGAACACCAACCTTCGTTAAGTTCAGCGTGTGATCACGAGTATTAACATTTCGAATTAAGAGTTCTTAGCTTTATAGTTTCCTAGATCGGTAGGCCAATTGAGAGAAACAGACGGACATGTCTAAATCGAATCAGCTCATCATCCTGCACAGAAATGAATGTCTTAAGAAATATTGTTTTTATTTTTTTTTTAAGTTAACACGTATTTTTATATAGGATGTAGAATTTTCATGATTATTGATTAGAATGTATGTCAGCGATAACAATGACAAAGTATTTGGGTTATTTATTAACAAGATGAAAAAGGCGTGTCGGTCTCCTGAGCCCTTTGATGATTTACTTTTAACAGATTTTCAAATATCCTAAAACCTATTCAAAATATCCACATATATCCCAGGGCAATATTTCCAACGATATCCTCTGATAAGTTAGTGTAAACACTATTTCTAGACAGCTTTTATGAATAAAAGGTCTTAAACAACAATATTTATTTTAAAAAATTTTAAAAGTGTACAATTCATCCCTACCCATGGGAAATTTAACCGATTAGTCCCGTGGCGTCCTTTTCCCTCTGTGTTCACTTAAATATGTAGGTCCTGGCCAAAATATTTTCAGTCACGACCTTTTACAAAAACTGCAAATAATGCTTAAAAAAAAAACAACATTTAACAACTTTGTTTTTATTTTTTTTTTACATATTGCTGGCCTGCTGCGGCTTGTTGTGTATTAAAACAATTAAAATTAATCAACAAAAAGCGCAGCAACTTTTGTGGCGAGAGTTTTAAAGTGATTAAGTTTTTTTCGAGTGGCACCCAGCAGCCAACTCACACCCGCGCCCCGACCTTTGCCCCTCGCCCCTTTTGCCAAAGGCACGTAATAAACTCGATTAAAGTGCACAAAAACATACGGCCTGACAACAAGCCGGGCACGCCAAACGGCAACGTGGCTAGCAAACAAGCAAATGCCGGAAACGACTGTGCCTCTTTGGCTAGTCCTATGTACCCCGTTCCCTGCACTTGCCCTAGACCCGTTGCTATGATGCCAATCCCTAACAGGTCCAGCTTCTGTCGGGCTGTGTACATTTCTGGCTGGATGGCCGTCAGTCAGAGAAATACTGCTGACCGCCCGGTCCCGCGTGCATTTAAAGTACATTTATGTCAATCACGCTCATTATGCGCACGTCAGTGCATTAAATTATACACATAGAGTGACTGAAAAGAGCAGCCGTATCCAGAGGGAAAGAGAAAGAGACTAAGAACGTGGTGACCGTCAATTTAAATGAAAACTGTAGCCACAGTGCAAGGAAGTTAAAACGCCAACGGAAGTCGCCATATTTGTACACGCGGTTAAGTCAGCTGATGTCGTACCCTGCACAACAGCGCAATGGGTATATGGGTCGAACGGGTCTGTGTCTAAACATAAAATGTTCTTGAAATCAAATTGAAAGGAACAAGATATTATATTTTAATATATCAGAAAAAATAAATTAAAAGAAATATTTTCCCAAATGGTGAAGCTGATAAAAAATGTGTTAGAGCATGCCTCTTCCTGATTGTTAATGAAATATTTTTGGCTCTCTTTATCGTATCGTACATCTGGTACATTTAAATAAAACTAATACACATTTGCAATCAAATTTAACAAACGCATGTATGAGACAGAAGTAAATATCTCAGATTCTATATATAATATACATGTATATTAGATAAGGTGAAAGAAGAGTGGATTTATCGATGACCATCTGTGTCTGCATTTAAGCCATTAGATCTTATCCACTAATGTGCAGTAAAATAGAAATTTGGAGTTAATATGGTATATGCCATGTCTTATGTCGGGCTGCTTGTGAACAATACATGATTAACATTTTGGAGCAGACGGCGGTAACAACATATCCAATGACTAAATCCATTTGATACAAGGTATATAGAAGGGCACTTGTTCGGTGAATTGTTTCTTTAGTCGTTAAGCCTCCCGTGATGTTGGTATTGCAGATATGCGCTAAAATGCATTTCCAACCGAGCGTTTCGCGTGTGCTCGCATTGCAATGCCTGAAATTCCTGCCTGGCTATAATTTCCATTGCACCAGGTTTGCGTATAAAAATTCCTTTCGCACATTTATAGTTTCGATTTTAACGGCACTCATTAAAAAAGGATCGTAAAATTTGCTGTGAAAACTGCAAAAATGCTGTGCGAATTTACCGAGCGGTGGGTCATTAAAGTGTGCGGTGCAACCGGGCAACCATTTTTCAGAAAAAACAGCACTTAGCTGCAAATGGTGGCACAAGGGGAAAATATTGCACGGCGCACTTCTTCAATGCCCGTTAAAATTCTTGCCATAACATCAAGTACACGCTTAATCAAAAGTAATGTTATATTTCTTCTTTTTTATTAAAGAGTAAATAAGGTATCTTTTGAGCTGTGAGGTTGAAATATTCGTCCCTAGAGTTACCTTATTACACAATACACTTCCATTATATATTTTCAAGTTTTTCGCTTTATTATTTTCCATTTTTGCAAAAAATCACAGACTGCTGTAATTTGAGGCAAATGCAAAAAAAAAAAAAACGTGGCATATGCAACGGGCGCACGTACCGTTAACTGTCAACGCGTCACTCAGCGCGCTAATTAAGTGAAAAACTATGTTAAAAAGTGCAGCGATGGGGAAGGGGGGGGGGGGTGGTTTGTGGATGGCAAAGAAACGAAGTGCGGTAGACGCACACTGGCGCATCTTTTTGACCCAAAAAACGTGCCAAGTTGTTGACAAACAACAAACAGTGTCGACCCCAACCGGCACTGTTCTGGTTGTGATTCTGTGCGCCTCCTGACAGTGCCAGTTTCCGTGGGCCCACATAATTCGCAACAGTGGCAGCGGCAGATGCAAATGCGCGACTCCCGGAGTCGTGCCCAAAGGCGCTTAACCCGCTTTCGGTGTCGGGTGTGGATGGAAAACAAGCGATGCGCAGCTTAGGCAAAAGTTTGTGTTTGTTTCATGCCACGCAAAAGTTACATCAAAGCACAAATAAAAAAAAGGGAGGGCAGAGAAAATAACAAGTAATAGGATGTCGTATACGAGAAAACACTTGGCGACAATGTGACAGCCAGCCAAAAGCGTATCAAATTAAAATGGCATACAAACCCACACACACACACGCACACACACATACAAATATTTATACTGGTATGGCACGTAGCAGCAGCAAGAGTCAATTAAAATTTCTATTTGATTTGGCAAATGTCAGTGGCAAGAGCGAACACACGGCTATCCAGCGCACAGACCATCCAGCATTTCCCAATGGAGACGCCCAGACACCCGCATGCTCACCCACAGCGCTGCTGACCAAATGCCAACAGCAGCCGGACGAGAGATGAAAATTGGCTACAGGTAGAAAGCAAACAATGGCCAGTAAATGTGTTCTTCATATCAATTTCTCCTCGAAACGGGTGTTTAATATACTTACACGCGTTTTAATTAGGCAAAAGCAAGCTATTACAGTGCATAAACAAATAAATGTAGCCTTAAGTCAAGCAAAACCAAAAATATCAATTGAAGAATTCCTGGTTCAAAACCACACGCATACTTGGTGAAAACGGTTGCTGATACATTAATTTTCATCGATTTCGATAAAAGCCACAATAGAAACCCCCTAATGTCAATTGTTGTTTCATATAGTTTCAATATAGATTTCTACAAATTAATGGATATTTTATATGCTCATAGTGTATTACTTTTGTGTAGCTGACGTACATATGAATATTCTCAATATGCAAGATATTTCAGTGGGACACAAGAGGCGGATTTCGAGATCTTGGAAAGTTTACTGTTTCATACATTTTAAATGTTCATGTCCAAACGAATACATTTTCCTGTGTAACAAGAAATCATGAACATAAGATACACTTATTTAGTTACTTGTACAAAAGGTGAAGTTATTGCGGAAATTTGTTGAAATTGCGGAGAAATCGTTATTGGAATCTCAAACACACCCACACATACTTACAAAAGGGCTGGGTGGGTAAACGAACTCAACTGCCAGACAACTGCAAAAGATGAGCTGAAAGTAAAATAAACTGAAATTGAGTGCATCTCGCAAGGGCAGGGACAAGTTTAAGTATTCAGAGCACAAAGACCGCATTTGACTGCTGACTGGACTAAGAAGCGAGTACTATTGGTAGGTAAAACTAAGGCAAGCATTATTTAATGTGGCCAAATGTTTGTTAATATGCTAGATAGGTTGACCTTTGTTGTGTGAACCCAGGAATAAAACGCATTCAAGCCTCGAAAAGTAAATCAAATTGGCGAAAAACAAATTCCGAATGGCGCCAAGTCGCTGAATATAATTGCAATATTCATAAATTATGGGAAGCACAGATATTAAACAACAATAAGAATAACATGCATTGCGCACAAAAGCACAGAATTTATGATGTTATATATTTTTTCATAATTTTTTTTTTTTACTGTTACCTGCAGCACATGCACACAAAACCAAAACCGAAAGCAAAATAACAACAGAAACACCCATAAAAGTTTACGGGTGCGTTAATAACAATGAAAATAAAAGCGCCATCTATGCGGCGAGCGTGGGAAACCGTTGCCCCAAAAAGTGTGCTACAATAACTTGAATTCAGAGAGCGTGCGATATTTGGATGCACCCGGTAATGCTTATTGTGTTAGCATGCTGTAGTATTATTGCGATGTGGACAATAAATTATGTAATATTACTTTACTTATTTAGTCAGTTTAAAAACATATAATATCTCAAATCGTAAAAGCTGGATAGCCATAAATAGTAAATTCTTATGTACACAGCATGCAAGACTTTAAGAGGAGTTTTCAAACTTGTATAAAACGTTCTTAACGGTAACAAAAATTGTATATTAAAATTTCATAGGCTAAGTAAAATAAGTTCTTTATTAGTTTATTATTTCGGGATTTAAAAAATGATATGCACTTTTTAGCAAAATATTAGTGGAAACGTTAGATATCGCCACGATTCACCCGCTGTGCGCCATTTTTCCGCCTTCTGCTGTTGCGGTTGCGCTTGTTGCCGCCGCGATAGGAGTTGCCGCGCCTATTGTGGCGTCTATTACCCTTGCGCCTATTGCCATTACGTCTATTGACCTTGTTTGAGCCACTTCTGTTGCGGCGTGTATTGGAACGCTTGCCGGCCCGATTATTTGCAGCGCGCGATTCGATCTGTTCCATGGCCTCCAAACCATCAATAAGCTTGGTTAGCTCATCCACGCTGGCATCATTCAACTGATCCAGGTCATTCTTGTCTTGCTCCAGCTGTGCAGCCTCATCTTCAGCCGCATCCAGCTCATCTTCGACAATATCATCACCATCCTCGTCGTCTAGGCTGTATAGCTCATTATTTTGGTAGCGCAGATCCTTGCTTTGCCTCAGCTGCTCTACCGGTCGAGGCTGTAGGGTCTTCGAACGCTCCGCCCAGGTAGCGCCAATGCTGATCAGCAGCACAAGAGTGCAAAGTGTGAGGTACTTAAAAGACATGTTGGAATCTATATGTTGCTCTGGTTGCTGTTTCATCGGCTTTTTATGGGAGTTTTGCCGCTTGACTGCCGGCGGCTGTGTCAACAGTTGCCACTGTGTGTATGTGTTTGGCTTAGCCAAGTTTGTTTGTCCTCCTCTCCCCCCACACGCTGAACGAAAGTAGGCCCGCTTGCAACAGCAGCTTATCAGCAATGGCAAGCTGTAGGAAAAGTTATCAGGAAGCCCGCAACATTTTGACACCTTTTATTTATGCGTTAAGCAAATTTAAATTAGTTTTTATTGTTTACCAGACGTACAGGCCAGGCCAGGCCAGGCCAAGCCACAACCGAGCTAAACTAATGATGCAATGTTTCAAAGTCACGTACACGAACGTTGGCAGCATCGTCGCCAGTTGCTGCCACAAACAAACAACAACAACAACAAGAACCACTAAGAAACTTTTGTTGCTGCTGCTCTTTATGTTAATTTTAATTGTGGGCACGTACAAAAGGCGACAGCTACTGGGCACAACTGGCTACAAACTGCATAAATATGAAATTTGTATTTGGGAGTAGCTAGTAGATACATTTGTATCTAACACTCGCCCGACTCTAGATAAATTTGCTCGCACAAGGCCTGCTCATATACATATTTGCAAGAACTTGTGTATAATCACAAAATAGCAAGCACGAAGTGCGTATGGCAATAAATAGTTGTGTAATCAAGCGCATATATTAAGTTCCTCAATAAGTTATGCCTAATGGATTGCAGTTGCGAGTTATCGTCACAAAATGCAGCTGTATGCATGTTATGCATTTCTACAGGTAAAATGTCTAATAAAAGCATAACGTTTTCGTACGTATATTGCTCAAGTAACCTTTCATAAATAATTGAAGTCCTTAAATAAATTTTAAGCAATTCAAGTCCAATTAGTTTTCAGCCTATTGATTAGCATTTGCGTTGCTATGGAAACTAGGGGAATAAAGGATACAATCCTTGTCCAGGTCTGTGTACATACATACGCAAGCAGACCTTTACATGTGTTCACTTAAGTTAAAAAGTGAGCGGAATAGAATAAGAGCAGAAGAAGGAAAGAAAGAAAGATGAGTCAAATCACGTCAGATGGAGAGTGGAAGAAAATAGCATAAATTATGATGAAAGTAGAAGCATAGATTAAGTTTAATAGATTTGCAGCACATCTTGTTAATAAAACGAGAAACCTGCATAGTAGGGCGATATTAAAAATTGTATATAAATGTGTTTTGTAAAACATACATATACACAAATACACATGTCCAAATATTATGACCGTGCACTTAGAAAACTTAATCTCTCTAGTAATTGTGGTTTCTGATGTGCACTGATCACCCATCGGTCAGTCAATCTTATATATTAATCAGTTTTATATATCTATAGGCATTTTTCTTTTTGTTGAACTTGCGTTCGTTAACTTTAAATAATGGCAACAATTGAGGTTGACATTTTAGAATTGTATACTCTTGATTTACTTCTGTGTTCTAACTGCATTGTGAAAATATTTCGTGTGGGTTTTGTAAATTCTGATGCTATGCTTACAACTGTCTCGTGTGACTTTATTTAATGTTCATGCAAGTTGATGCGATAGTTTTAACATTCTCATTTTCTGTTCAGGTCCCTGTTTGCCCTCGTATTTCACATGCAACGATGGCTCTTGCATACCAATGCGCTGGAAATGCGATTCCGAACCGGACTGCAAGGATGGCTCTGATGAGACTAGCGAATGTGGTGAGTTTATCCCTGGCCCTGGCTAGCTATCATTTTCCCCAGTTTCCATTGCCGCTGCTGCTGCTGCTGCTGCTGTTGCCCATTTGCTGTTGATTGCTATATTATTGGTTTGACTGTTTGGCTGTAAACGTTTTGGACTGGCTGCGCCTAATGACAGGTACAACTGGTCAACGCGCCACAAAATGCGTAAAAGCTTCTACCAAAAACACCAAATGCAATTAGTGGTCCATGTTGTCTGCTCCATGTCCTCCGGCTGCTGTGCACTTAGTCGCACTGTAGGCGCAGTACGAAAATTCCGTTTTTGTTGTCGCTTTAATTCTAAACCCTGGCAAAATGCATATCCATTTTCTGTTGTGCTTTAAGCAAAACCGATGCGGCTGTGCCAGCTCAGCTCAGTCGTTCACCACAGCCCACCAAATTAATCTGTAGACATTTTGCGCTGGATGCCAATAAAAAGCAACAACAAACTTGAATTGGAGAACTGAGAAATGGCAATGTTGACAACAACAGCATCTAGAACAACGGAGCCACAGCTCTGGGCTGGATTGCAACAATTGCCAGCACATTCAACGCCACACTGTCCGGTTGCTGCGAACTTGGACTGTCTCTCAGTTGGCATTTTTAATTTCATTTTATATTATAGGTTTTTTTTTATAGTGGCAACAACAAGAATCGAGCACAGAGCTCACACAACGGGCAACAACAAACAACAAACGACGTCTCTGACGACAAATTGTCGGCAAATATTAATGCAACAGATTATAATAAATGTGGCAGCCACTGCGTCCCCATCTACGTACCATGTGCCAAACTCTTCATGTTTTTCACACCATGTACTATCTCCTTTCTCTTTCACACTCTCTGTCATTTTCCCATCCACGCAATTTCAATTAAAGCTCACGGACTGCATCTGCACACACACACATGCACACATTTATTTTTGCGTATATGTGTGTTTTTATATAGAGTACATCTCTTGATATATCGCATTTAAACTGCCTGCCACGCTGAAAAGTTGTTCAGAGGATTTGCACTTGCTCAAAATAAGTTTTATTAAATTTATGTGCAGCTTTTTGTTTTGTTAACGTTTAAATACTTAAAATTAAAATAAAAGCCCAGCTCTAATAACAACTCGAGCACGGACATATCCATATATACATATGGCAAATTTATCCAACATTTACAACCTATCGCTTAGAAATCGGTTAGATTTGTAACTATAAGGTTATCGGAAGTCAGCTTAATCTGAAGTTTATATTAGCTACAAGATCGTAGGTTTATAGCATCAGCAACCAAATCGAACTGACTTGGAATCCGAATGTTATGTCAGAGCTAAAATATAAAATATATTTTATATATATTGTTGATCTGATTATAAGTTTATTTCTACTAATTAATATTTTGCATAAGTATACTTATTCTTTAACTTAACTGCTTTAAATATGAAAATATGTTTTATATAAATAAGTTCTTTTATTGCCAGATAATTTCAGCTGACTTTTTTACAACTCTCTAGATAGCACAATAATGTTTAACAATGGCTTTATAATGTTTTTTTTTTTTTTTTTTTTTTTTTTGACCAGTTTCGAGGGCCAAGTTGATTAAATAAGTGCCAGCGCCCAGTTCACGCGTCAGGAACTTCACACAGTTGGTTCAGTGTAATGCTCGCTGGCCGAGACCTGTAACCATTTTTTTGCTTTTGTTCTTTTGACATTTTTTGCCACCCCATCGAATCAAATAAAATAATAATTTTAAATGTATACAAAGCATCTGCATGCCCTTGGGCTTATTAAATATTATACGGCACCAGCAGCAGTTGGGCTAAAACAATGGCCACCCACTGCCCCCCGTCGCCTAGCCATGTAAATTGGCACGCGGTTGTGGCTGCGAGGGGTCCTTATGTCTCTAGAGTTTAACCTCTTGGCAGTCCAAACATTTTATTCGGCCGTCCCATGTGTCGCCAACGTGGCTTTTATGGTTATAGCCGGGCGTGGTTATAGCCGGCCACATTGCCCTGGTAGCTGCCTTTGATTTTGACAACCGACTCGGGAGCAGCGCGATATTTGAATTCTTTTTATTTTTCACAAAATATTTTCTCGTGACAATTTGCATTTTTTTAATATTGTCGCTAAAATTAAATAAAACGTGTTGAAAATATGCTGGAAAACGTAAAAACTAGCTCTCGACCCCATTCTTCATTGTATACTTTGTAGAGTGTAAAAATTAACAAACCCATTTTAAATTGAGCCACACAGAAGTATGCTACACGAAACTCTTCTAAATTTATACGATATGGATATATAATATATTTCACATTTCAAATGAGTCCTTAAAATCAAAATACTGAAGTTATTTTGGAAGTCTGATAATGTAACTGGACTGGATGACAGCAGATCTTAGGTCGAAGTAATTCAGATCTTAGCTATGCACGCATCCGATCTTGATAAAATTTTCATAAAATATTCGTATATTCGCAAAAAGATTGAAAGAAATCGTGAATAGTCGCCAGACGGATATAACTACATTAACTCGGATGTTGACACTAAACTGTGTATTTTTACCTTTTATTTTAATCTTAATTGGCAAATCGAGAAGGTATTAGACTATGTTCAAACTTTGTAGTCTACATTCTAAATGTGTTTAACACGCGGTCGACGTTGTGCCTGAGTGTATCTTAAGCTTCTCTTACTTTAGCAGCGCTGAAAATAATTGTTTTTACTGAAAAAAATATAATTTTTTCGGATTTGACGTGCTTCCAGTAGTAACTTATTTAAGGGCTTTGGCAAAATTGTATATCTTAGAAGCTAAATAATAAATTAACGAACTAAATATTCTTGTAGCTTGAACTATTATGTTTAAGAGTACTTGAAACTTTGTCATGCCATAAATACTCACTTATTTACCCCAACCCATACGACGCCTCGAAAAGTCAACTTGTTGTTTGCTTTATTTTGAGTTTTCGCAAAATAATTCAGTGATTTGTATAAAGGCACAGACAGGCATGCCCAATAGAAGAGACCACCCTCTGTATACTCCACCCATAACCAAAAGGCGAAAACCGACGCAACCGCTAACAAACCCTTCATAAATCTTCATTTACGTTATTGTGGTTTCTGTTTGCGCTCTTTTGCAGCCAAGTCGTCCAAATGCAACGAGGGACAATTTCGCTGTGCCCAGAGCCTGAAATGCATACCCAGCAATTGGCTATGCGATGGAGAATACGATTGCGGCAAGGGGGACATATCGGATGAAACGAACTGTAAGTAGCTAAAATGTATGCACTATGCTTATTACCAGGACTAACACCAAACCCTTAACCTATTTACTACCCTTTGGCAGGTCCCGATAGCGTTGCACCCAAGTGTCGCGCCATCGAATCCGAATGCCACAACGGCGCCTGCCTAGAACTGTC